CGTATAACTGATTCAGCCTGGATTTAACCACAGTCACCCTATCACTGATCAATGGATGTAAAAAAAAAAATTTAGGAATTGTGTATGGTCTTTGAACAAAAATTACAGAAGTTATTTTCTTGACAGCTATGCAGTCATGGGGTAATCTCCATAGTGTTTCTTTCTTTTTAAATGATCCGGCAAATATACATTTTTTATCTGAGTTACTGTGGAATGAAGCGCATGCAAATTGAGAACAGAGAACAATGGTGTACTTTTATTTGTATTATAGTGTTTTAGGAAACCAGTCTCTGAATTAATATCATCATACACGGCCATATTTACATATGCTTACATGGTTACAAATTGGTACTGGAGTCTTAAAAAGATATGGAATATACATATTTGTGTACTACAGATATCTAGAGTCTGGTAATTTGTATACCATACTCGTCCAACTTGGCTCCCATACTTGACAAAGTACCAACTCCCTGCTTTAGACAGATATCTGTTTGTGGGTAACATTTGACTTACCAGGGGTAGTGTCCATCTCCAAAATGCCCAAAGTAAACCAACAAGTCACAAAACCTGGTCATTGATCATCAAATAAGTGCCTACCTCCTAAAAAACAGTAAAGTTGATTACTATACTACCCATATTTTTTCAAATCTTGCAGTATATTTGTTATAGCTATCAGAGTAGCTAGTCTTAGGGTGAGAGTGACTTTTTGCAAATTTTGCTGTTCTAAATTATGAAATTGCAACTTTCCTACTCACAACTTTATGGGATTATGGTATTTCATCGTAAATTTTCTGTCAACAGTTGACAAAGATGACGATGACTATGAATGTGCTAGTGTACAGACAAGTCACACACAGGACGTGAAAAAGATTAAATGGCATCCGGAAAAGGAGGTAGGAAACCCACAATGCATTGCACTATAGTTTAATATTTGTAGAGTGGCATTCAAAAATATTCAAATTCTTTAAATACATAATTTGTGTCACTTTATATGATTCCTTTACTTGCAAGAAATGTGTTTTTTTCCTATTTTTATACTGCAGAAATGCACATTTCGATTTGATTCACTTGTGATATTTTTTCTTTTTTTTTTTCAGATTTTAGCTTCAGCGAGTTACGACAATACGTGTAAACTGTTTCATGAGGAAGGAGACGATTGGAGTTGTTTTTGTACTTTAGAAGGCCACCAATCTACAGTGTGGAGCATTGATTTTGATAAAACAGGACAGAGACTAGTCTCGTGTAGTGATGACAGAACCATCAAAATATGGCAAGAATATCAGGCAGGAAACCCGGAAGGTAAATTTCCCATCATTCTCTTTGATTTGTTGTAATTTAGTCAAATAGGATCATGAGAAGTCCTCTATATATTTTTTTATGCATTGCATGCAACTTCATAATTTTGTTTTCCTTGTGAAATAATTTCAGGTATTCCAACATCTGGCGGAACTTCCATATGGAAATGTACGTGTACTATACAGGGTTATCATGATAGGCCGATCTATGATGTCAGTTGGTAAGTTATAAACTGTTTCTTTCCATATTATATTACAGGTCATCAACTTTTTCTTTTACTTTACTATTTTGAACTTGAAGCTGTGCTTCGCAACTCAACAAAAACAGACTTAGTCTTGTGGCCCCTGGAAGTGTACGGTTTGGCATGGCTCGCATCCTCTCAAGAAAAAAAATAGATGACACTTGTACCCCTCATTGAAATATTCTACAAAAGTTGTTGGTAATGCCATTTTATGCAATATATTCAGCATAAATAAATATGAATGACGTTCGGTTTGAAAAAATAATTTTGCAAAATATTTGTATCCAGTTGTAAAGTGACAAGTTTTGTCGCAAGTTAGTTTTTTTTTTGCTCACA